TGATTTTTTTAAATCTCCTAATTTTATCAAAAAAATTATAATAGTTTGTCCAATGACTTCAAGAATAGTAACTAGAAGCTTGAATTACATCATCTTCTTTTTTGTAAATCTTACTTGCATAAAATCTATAAAAAATTACATTTCATCTTCTTCATCTTTATTACTTTCCATTGCTCTTGTTCTTTGTACATTTAATGTTACAATATTTTCTATAATTTTTTTTTTATTATTGTATCAATAATAATTTCATGAAATTCATACTTTGTAATTTCTAGGATTTTTTCAATTATGAATTCAACGTGTTCACTTGAAATTCAGTCTTCCAATACTTTCTTCAAATCTACAATAGCTTCAATATATGATTTTAGTTTATAAATAATAGTCTTTATTTTTTCTTTTCTAATTTTTCTTTCTTTTGTAGAAATATTTTCTATTCTCTCTTCAGGCATAAGATTCTTTTATTACCATGTCTTTTCTTCTCTTATAGTTCTTTTGATGGTCCTTCATTATTTTCATCTTTCTTTTATTTTTCTTCTATTAATATTTTATATTGACTCCTTATAATATGAGTATGTACTAATAATCCATCTATTAGATCATTCCACTCTGTAAATTGTCAAATATTATTGCCAACACATTTAAAATTCAAATAAATATTTAAGTATAATTTAGAATTCCTAAGAAAATCTAATACTTTGTTGTCAAATGTAATGAGTTATACTGAAAAGAGAAATTTTACTTGGATTTTCTTCCATCCAATATATTGATGTTTCATTGCTTAAGATTTTATGTACTTTAAAAGCAACTCTCACAAAAATCTTCATTCCTTTTTTTACCAAAGTTTATCTCCAACTTTTCTCTACTTTCTTTTTAGTATATTATACCATCTTTGGAAAAAATAACTTCTATACAAAGCACCTTTGTAAAATTCTCAGATTCCCTTCTTGAATAATCTGTTTTATTATCCTACATCTACCTATACACTACACCTTCTATTGGTCCTAAATTTTATCTTGTTGATTCTCTTGATGATTGATCCTTCTCTTTAAGTTTTGTAAATTTTATTTGCAAATCTCTTATCCTTCATATGATTTCATTGATGCACATTTCTTCTTTCTTTGATGTAGCTATTGAAGGTTGAATTATAGATATAGGATAGATTGTAGATCTCTTTACTTTAGATGTTTGGAATGGTCTTTAAATAGCTATCCTATCCTTTCTTCTTTCTCTTTTTGCAAACAATCCTATTGCCTCTTTCACTTCTTTCCAATTTGTTGTCAATCCTTCATCTTCTTCTTTATCTTTAAGTAAGATTTCCAACTTCTCTTGCAACTTTCTATCAGCAATTTAAAAATAAGCTCCACTTTACTTGGATCCAATAATTATATTTTTTTTCTTTGATAAATAAGAATATTACTTTTTAAACTTTTTTAATAATTTTATTCCTAGAAGATCCTTTTTAAAAACTTTAATCTATTAAAAAAAATGACTTCTTTGTAATTTTGTCACTATCTTCTAAAAACAATTCATCCTTTAAGACTTGAAATAATTTTTTCATTGAACCTCTAGAATATCTTATAATAGACTTTACATAATTTCTTCTATCTAATGTAGAGGATAATTCAAATAATTGAACCATCTTCTTCTTTAAAATACACTTCAACTTAATTTCTTATGTATATTATTTTAAATATTTTGTAATATCCTTCCCTTCTAATTCATCAATCTTATTCACAACTATGTGTAATGCTTTGTCTGGCATACCTTCTTTGCAATATTTAACATGCTTTTGCGTAAATAAAACAAAAGTTTCAAACATACTTATAAAATTAGGATCAAAATATACACCTTGTCCTCTACTACTACCTCCACTTGTAGGTCTAATTGAAGCACCATCCATAGTTCATATTTCATTTCTTTCCCTTTCTTCTCTATAACTCAAAAAAAATCCAAAAACACCAAATATCTTCCACTTAAAGCTTTTAACATCAGGTTCACTAAATATATTGTATTATGTGAAGTCTTGTTTAAAAATACATTGAATAATTAGCTATAGAAGCTAAAAGAAAGTTGCAACAATAAGTTTTAACAACTCTAATAGAATCACATAAAAATTGCAATTAAAGCTTAACAAATATAATCAAACATTGATTAGGTTCAATTATATTTTTAAATAAATTATAAAAGAAACACAAAAAAATCCTAAATAAATCTTAATTGAATCCTAATAAAATCTTAAACAAATCTTAGACAAATCTTAGATAAATCTTAATCAAATCTTAAACAAACTTTCATTAAATCCAAGACAATTATAATAAAATCTTAAATCATAAATCAACCTTAAATTTTATATATATATATACATATATATATATATACTACCACATTTATAATTTTTTTCAAATGTATTTTTTTTTTTTTATTTCACAAAATCAAATTTAATCAAAACAATCCTAACTTTACTAAGATCTTATAAAGTCATTATAAACTTAAATTTCCGAAAATCAATGTTCAAAGAAATTCTATGAAGTCTTCTCTCAAACTCCATTCCTTGATTTGTAAAAGAACCTTAGAGTTGCTATAGGTGCGCAGTGTTGTATTATGTGTATTCTTGCATTAGATACTTAACCAATAAAGGTAAGTAGAAATGCAGTAACAATCCTACCAAGTCTAATAGAATCTCAAATAAACTTTAAATAAACCTTAATAATTCCAATCAAACTTTGATCAATCCAAAATAAATTTAAAAGAAGTTATAAAAGAAACTTAAAGAAGTTTTAAAGTAATCTCAAAGAAAAATAATAAGAAATCTTAAAAAAATATCAATAAAATTTTCTTTTAAAATATTAAAAATAGAAATTCTAAATAAATCCTAATTAAATCCTAATTTAACCTTAATTAAAATCTTAATGAGTCTTAATCAAATCCTAAGCAAATCCTAATCAAATTCTAAATCTTAAACAAACTTTTATTAAATCCTATAGTAGATTGAAACCTCAACAACTAATGGTTGAATCATTGATATCAATTCAAAAATTACACACTTCTTAATATCTTAGTTAAAAATATACACAAGAAAGATAAAATTGATTGCACTTATCAATTGAAAGAGATGCAAGATAATCCGATTGGATATTGGGTGGCCTTCTACTCCAACATAAATACTAAACTTCTAGTACCAATATTTCCTTCTTGAACTGTTGAATTACTTTCAAATTTCACCTAAACATTAAAAATCAAGTTTAATATCTATATAAAATAACTTCACTTTAATCCAATTGATTTATTGTTGAAGATCTTATTAGAAACACTCATTGATCCACAAACTCTAATTTTTGAAACCTTAATCTACAAAAACCTTCATATACTTCAATCTAATTGTTCAATTGATCTCAAATTTTGCATACACATTTATAACTAGTACATCAACACATTATCCAAATTTCACCCATACTCACATCACAAAACTCAAGAAATCCTCAAATTTGTAAACATATTTTTATTTCTTAAATCCTCATCCTACCAAGAACATCACTAACTTTGAAAATCCGTCAAAATCTCAATATTAGTTCAAATGACATGAAACCAATGCCTAAAAATCTCTCTTCTAGTCTGCCCTCAAATTCTACTTTCTAATATATCAAAGAAACTCTAGAGTCACTATATAGACATATAGTTTTATACCTTAAGATATGATTTCGACATAGGTTGATAGCTAGTCCTCTTTGGGTATCAATTTTTGGTAATTTGAGGTAAATTTTTCTTTAACCTATTATTAAATTTCTCCTAAATATGTTTATATTAATTTTTTTATTTTATTTACTTTGATTAGGCTAATTTATGCCTCTATAAAATAAATAGAAGTTCTTTCTATAAAAGGTAGCATTAAGACTAAATCTTTTACTACCTTTCTATTATTTATCTTTATTTTTTTAGTATATCTTTCTACTAGGCTCTTCTATAATAACATCCATATTTTTATTTTTTATTATATAATCGTATTACCACACAACAATGGTTTTGTATCTCTAAATCTGAATTCAACTCTTGTTAGCAACCGATCCTTTTCACATATCAATTTCTATTTTCTTGAGATAATTTTTGCTAAAATCAGCTCTTAACTCTCGTGTATATATGCTTATATCTTTTATTTTTCTAATCTTCCTTGTTTTGCCTTATTTATAGTCCTACAAATTAAATAGAAGCCCGCTTAGCAAAAAGGCAACATTTGCACTTTTAGTTTTACTACCCTTTGACTATTATCTATATTTCTAAGATAATTTGCTACAATATTTTAAAATAATATTTTTTATAATATAATATTTTCTTCATTCTTTCATGTATTAGGTGTGTTACATCACAACAATACTTCTATAATATCGTAATGTATAATTTGAAGATTTTGACTTTATTTTTATTATAAAAATATAAAACAAAAAAATTGTATATATAAATATTATGGTATTCTTGCATGTTACTATTTGCAAAAACATACAAATATATTGATAAAAATTTATGTGAATGAAAATCTTGAAAGAAATAAAAATCTCAATTACTTTTATTTTTATTTTTTAATTTTTTTTAGAATTCAAATTCATATTGTATATTAATCTTATATATAAACACACACATACACATGTATATGCATATTAAAGTCATTATTTTAGTGGCCTCATATTAAGTTAAAATATTTCGTTTTATTTTATTTTTAGCTTTTACACTATTTTTTAAAAATAAATAGAATCCAAATGGTATCAATATTGTACCAAATTTCCATCACAATAAAGACTCTTTTTTATTTTTTTTTTACTTACTTACAATAACAAACAAAAAAACTATATGTTTTGTCTTCTTTCTTCTTCTTCTTCTTCTTCTTTTATTTAAGTACACATTAATGCCAACAAGAGCCAAGCCAAGAAACCATACTGAAAGAGCCTCGAAACACCAAATCAAAGCCACAAAACAAAAGAGCCTCCCTCAAATGTGAGTGAGAATGGATCATGAAGGAAGGAAGGGAACGAGTTCGCATAGGAGATGTGAACCAAGTGCCCCACGTGCCCCTGGTGCCCAACTGCGTATCTCTCTCTCTCCATCGTGAGCTTGTCCACACTCCTCGTATTGAATACCGACACTGCCCCCACCCTCACTACGGCATCGAATTCCCCGCTCACTCCATCGCCACCATGGCCACTTCCTTCGCCAACCTCCACCTTCGCCACCCCACAGTCTTCCCTCTTTCTCAAAGTTCCACTTTGACCTCTGGATGGAGTCCTACGCAGTTGATTTTTCTAACTGTGGGTCGGAGGCAATTAGCGCTGAAGAGCGTGCAAGCAAAGTCCAAGCAGGCTGGGAGTGTCTCGCGCTCTGGTACTCAGCTTGAAGGAAGTGAGTTGGATGGCATTCTGGGGGCTGTGTCTGCGAAGAAGCGGAGGTCGCAGTGGTGTTTGTGCCGTGGCATCGAGTCAGGAAGTAGAGAATTGAGGTACTTGTCATGGGGGAGTGGTGGAAGGCCGCAGGATGTGATGCTGGAACCGCCTGTTGTAGAATTCGACGTGGACATTCTTCGTGGAGTGCCTCTGAGCTTAAGGTGCGCATTTGTGGGTTCAATTCTCTTTTTCTTTTTTCTTTTTTCGTATCTGTAAGCTGATCAAGCAACCTTATGTGCTGTTGCACGGCATTCGCTTCAAGATTCGGCTTGAGGATTGGATTTTGTTTTGTTTATCGCATTAAAGCATTCTGAGTGCTGAGAAAACTTATTATCGCTGAGAAAGAAAGAAGGAATATGTTGCGAAATTCGTTATCATTACGATCTGTACGTTCAGGAAACGGTTTAATAAATGGTTTAGAATATGCATATTTGAGCGAGGATTTGAAGGGAGACTGCAATGTCTTTCAAACTTACAGTTGATGATGGTGCAGGGCTGCGGTCACAGAAGGAGCCATCTCCTCATCTTTGGCAATATGCTGGAGGTGGATGCTATCTGTTGCTGTAGCCATCAGCATCAATTTCATACCCTGGTCCTCAAGCATCGCCCTTGCCCAAACTGAGGTTGTTGCCTCGGGGTGTGACAATGTTACTCAGTATTACAGCCAAGCGTCTGGTCTGCAGGGTGAGAAGCTTAAGGCGAAATTGCATGAGATTGTTGCTGGGCACAAGCGTCTCACATATGCTCAGGTGCTACATTTTCTGCTCTTCAAATGTTGGATTACCAGTTTCCTTCCCGCTATCCTCGACTTTTAGCCTCGCATTACCCTTAATAGCTTCTGTGTTATGTTTCATAATGAAAGAGTTTCTGTTCATGTATTTTTATTTCTTCCACTACTTAGTTTCGCGGATTAGGTCTTGGCAAGTTTGGTAAGGACATTTGTTCCTCATTTTTTGTGAGAGCATCTTATCCAGTTTCTAGAGATTGGATCCTTGATTTTTCCCTGATTACAATTGTTTGATGACTTTACTACCCTCATGTTTCATACTCATTTTAACTGAATAACAGGTTTGGAATGCGTTAAAGATTCTTGATGCTGCAGATACTGCAACACCGGAGACGTCTCCTGATGTGTAAGTTCATGGAAAATTTGACTTTTCGAGTCAGAATGTGTTTGGCAGTTTTCTTTTTTCGAGGGCATCGGAAACTTGAAAGACCTGTGACTTTTATTTTATCTGGGTGTTGAAAATGTGCAGAGTGGATATCTACAGCTTGAAAAGAGTCTCTAAAAGCCTCCAAGGAAGTAGTGATGGTTGGAATCGTAAGTTCGCCATCAGACATCCTTTTTCTTTTTTTCTTATACAAATTGTACCTTTTCTTTTGCTTGTGTACTTAAATGTATCAAGCATTGTTCCAAACACCTGATTTAAGAATGTAGGAGGTGGCAGGAGAGCATTTATGGCCCCGATCTTATGGGCTAACTGAAAATCAGTCGGAATTTACTGATGTCCACAACTTGCGACCGGCTGACGTGAACGGTACTTCCTTATCTTGCACACTACATCACAACACCTATCAGGATCAATCTCCAGCTTCTGTGTACTGTAATTTTTAATTTTATTTAGTTATTTAATTTTACAATCTATTTTTCCTTTTCCTTTACCCCCCACGAGTCGTAACTTCATCGTACAGATAAAAACGAATAAGCTGGTACATTACAGATGTGTAACTACTCTTTTTGTATTTTAAAAAATAGGAGTACTAATAATATTTATTTTATGTGTTCACAGTAAATTCATCACGAGGCAATAAATACTTTGGAGACTGCACTACTCTCCAGACAACGCGATGCCTAATTCCTGCTAACCGCGAAGCAGCACCAGATACCGCAACTGATTCGAACTCATGGCGACCACCATCTGAGGTTCTCTTTTTTGCCTTATTTGTTCCTACCTTTTTAGTGTCTTGAATGGTGGTATTGCGTCTTGATGTGTTTTTTTCCTTGAGCAGTCATCGACCGTGAACTCGAACCGACTTAAGTAATGTAATAACTGTGAATGAAGTGTAAGTAGTTGCATCAGATTAACATAGTTCCTTCAGTACTCAAAAGTTGTGAAGTTGTACATACAGGTGTCAAGTACAGCCTTCCGAGTCTAATGTGAGATGACGTTTTTATGCGTTCGGTGTGTAAAATATAGCTCAATAATAATATAGCATCAGCTTGGTGGTTTTTTCTCAGGTCAGAGGAGACATAGCACGGGCTGTGTTTTACATGGCAGTTCGTTATGGCCTTGAGCAACCTTCTGGTAGCCTCAACCTCCAGCTTTCGGATTCGCCTAGTGTTGGTAAGTGATCACTAGGGTAAAGGCTTCTCCCGTGCGTGGATAATTTAGAGGCATCTCTTTCCTTACAAGAGCGGCACAAGTAACCAGTAGTTGAGATTGACGAGAAATATGCTAACTTTACTCGTGGGGAAATGATGCAGCAAATGCGACCATGGGGCTTCTTTCGACTCTCTTAGAATGGAACAATTTGGACCCACCCTCGCCCTCAGAGGTGCTAAGGAACTCAAGAGTGTGTTCTTTGTACCAAGGCAATCGTAACCCATTTGTTGACCACCCGGAGTATGCTTCGAGTATCTGGGATGCTCGTACCGTTGCGACAGGGCCAAACACACCGGGTGAGCCGACGGTTAGTTCTGGATCGAAAAATGAAAACCCGCTTCCAAATGCGTGGATCAATGAAATACATTATAACAACAAAGGTCAAGACCAAGACGAGGTATTCTCTCCCCTGTTCAGTAACTGTAATGAAAGTAGTGCTGGTTCATCGTTAGTAGCATGAATTCAATTCATGGTAGCAATATCTTCCAGAATATAGGTAAAATTAACGTCCTCATTGAATTTTTGATTGCTGGTTAGATAATAATTTTCTCACAATTTCTGTTTTTTTTTTTTTTTTTTTTTTTTTTTTTTGTGTGCAGTTTATTGAGGTGATTGTGGGTCCAAATACTGAGATTTCCTCATTGAAGATATATCTGTATAGTAGTGATGGAAAAGTGTACCGCAATCTTCCTCTAGCTGATGCTGCATTGTTCCAAGCATCCAACGTTAACGGATCAAGCTCTTTAATTTATTCAACAGCTCGTCCAGGAAGGTCGATACAAAATGGACCAGCTGATGGTATAGCTCTGGTGCAAGAACGAAGTGAAAACAAAAGCAAGGTCATTCAATTTTTGTCATACGAGGGAGTTCTGACTGCTGCCGAAGGTCCAGCTAAAGGCTCAACTTCTAAGGATATAGGTGTACATGAGAGTGAACGCTCGGAGGTCGGTAGTTCCTTAGGGCTTTCAGGTTTTGGCCGAAGATATGAAGACTTCAAGTGGACGAAGTTCTCTAAAGCTGCCACACCTGGCAGCCTTAACTCTGGACAGTTGTTCAGCTGACTTTCAAAGCCGGGAAGTTGAATTAATTGCTTGTCAGAGAGGCTTAGTATTAGATCAAATCTGACTCTTGCTCAAGACCAAACTGAACAAAAACACCTTCAAATTTGATTGTTCTCAATTTCTCTTTCAATATCTGTGCCAACTGTCCATTCGCAAGCATTTTCAAAAAACTGTAGTAGGTTACGATGAGATTTCTGACTATGCGAATGAACCTCAGCTAGTGTATGTGGAACTTGTATGAATTCTTCTTGGCTTTGTATGCACATCACTGCACTTGGGACTTCAGGTTTTTGGTTGAAATTTCGCATCAATCTGGAGGTATGCTGATTCCTTTGTCAGTTTCTCCAAGTTATCTTTGTTGTTTTCAGTACAGTTCCTGTTTATTCAGTGCAGGTCATGGAGAATTAGTGCAAGGCCTATTGCATCCAACGACCTTGAACACGTCCATAGAAGATTTATGATCGATCAAACTTTGTCACTGATTAAAACTGTTTGATGCACTGCGCACCCAGCAGTGAGAAGGTACCATACTCTTGCCTCTCAAACATGTGAACTTTCTATAGTACTGTGTGCAGAGAATAAGTGAAGAGAACTGAAGAGTCTCGGTCACTAACATGGAATACTAGTCATAAAATTCATTTACTCATATTCTAGGTGATATGTTCTCATTATGCTCACTTACAATTCATGAAGGAAAATAATGGGTTATGTATCAATTTTTAAAAACATTTTTTCATTATTACTAATATCTGAAGTGCTTGTATTTTATTTTGTTGATATTACCTTAAACTTTACTCAATATCAGTAATTATCTTTTACAATGCAGGTTTTCAAAAAAAAAAGTATGCAAATGTATATTTAAACACTTCAAAATCCTTATCTATTGTGGTTGAACATCGGCTAAGAGTAAATCTAGCATTATGGATGACTATGAGGAATTTTCTCAAAAGTAACAACTTGGCCCTATTTGCTCGTCTATTTCTTTGTGATGCAAGTTGTCATGATCATTCATTTTAATCATTCATCCATGACTTCTGACGTGACTTGTTGTAATCGTCATGAGGTGTGAATTCGATTTCATCTGTTGCATATGAATTTGTTCAATACAAAATCATCTTAAAGTTTGTGTTTGTGAGTTAGTTCTTTTCATTAAAATCTTCATTGCTAATCTATCTTTACTCCATTTATTGTTTAAAGCATTTATTTTGGCAATCTAATAATAAAAAAAATCAGAAAGTATATTAGACAAATGCAATCCTTACTAAATACCATTTAATTTAAGTAAACAACAACAAATTCAATATAAAAGTTTGCAAAAGGTTTAATTTCTTGGAGAAGATACTTATAAACGTTTTGAAGATTTTTAACTTTATATTTTTTCCATTTATTCCAAAAAATCATGAGGGTATTTTTTTTTACAAAAAAAAGTTATGAATGTATACATAATACATAAATTTTGGTTATGATGATCATTACAGTTATAATTATAATTAAAATTAAACAAGCTCACAAAAAAAAAATTACACCACAAATATCAAAGACTCCAGCCGTTTTCACCCAATTATTTATTTACTTATTTTTTTTAATATTACTTGAAAGAATTCCATGGTTCTTGATTATGTTAAATGCAACCATTCTGAAACCTTTTTAATGTATTTTTTTAATATTTTTTAAATTTTTTAATATGAAATGTGACTTTTTTCAAATACTAAAATAATAACTAGTTTTTTTATTTTATTTTTTTTATCCTTAATATCATTCTTATAATCATTTTATTGCATCTGTAACAACAAAATTATTATAATTTTCAAAGTTAAGTTACATGCATAAAAGAAAGAAAAAACCCTCAACAAAGCAATAAAATGTGTTACTAATTGAACATTGGAGCTTTCAAATATGTATGTATGTATATATACACACACTTGTCATCTGTATTGTAAATTATGGAGCTCAAGTTTATGATACAGAACACACTCTACAACCATCCAAAAAAATCTAAAAGAGTACAATTAACATTACATGTGAAATTTGCAATGAGCTTTAATTAATCTATTAATTAAAAAAAGAGAATACTAAAAAAGTTGATTTAAAATATATATATATATATATATATTCACACACATACACTCACACATATTGGCGCAAACAAATATAGTTCAAGCAGCCCAGGCTTGACCAACTGAAAATAAGCTTTCTAGAGCAGAATCAATTTATGTTATTCACTAATTGTGAACCTTATTTCAGAACCACAAAGAATACAAATAGTATTTGAATCAATGTGGACTTCCACTCAAAGCATCAGTTCATTCGAAAGTTCCCCACTTTTCAGCACTCAAGTTTTCCTACCACTACTGTGTTTTTATTGTTAATGTCACAATTTTGATAATTTTGATAAGTTTGGAACAAGATTTGTTCCAGAGAGGTTTGTCCACTGTGGGCTCTTTTTGTTCTTCCCGTATTACTAAAACTGTTATCATATGGGTGCTTAAGAAAACGGAGCCTCAACATGGACTCGAATTTCAGTGAAAGAGGGGATTAATTGATGAGGGTGGCAACTTTGAAGCGGAGTGTGATCACAAAAGGGGATGGAACCCACATCCCCAAAAAATGAGAATCACCCTAAAACCCTAATCTTTGCGTGAGTGAGTTGGTGGGTGGGTGGGGAAACCGGCTACTTCCAGTTGCGACGACCGGCTCTTCGAAGCTCCCTTGGCCAACATGCTTGAGAGTTCCGAAATCCCTTTTCCACCATCAATCCCGTTGTGGTCTCCTGCGAGATCCAGTCCACCCTCGAGCAATTGATTCCCCTTTGTGGGCCAGTTTGTGGGGAATAGCGAGATTCCGATGATGTTGCAGTAGATTGCAGCAAACAGCAGCAGATCGAGCTCAGCGTCGAGGTCCGGCTCCCTGGATAGTGTTCGCATCGGTGGGTTTTCGAGCAGTTGTTACTTGGCCTTTGCGCATGGCATGGTCCTTGCGCCAGTCGAAGCGCGAGCGGTGAATTTGTGCTATGTTTCTCATTTTGAGAACTAGGTCGTGGTGTTTTTGGGACTCCCAGGTTGAGATAGTCCGTTCTAGGTTGGTGGTGTTCGTGAAGCCGGAAACTAGGGGAATCCAGGTTAAGGAGACACTTGTGAGATGGGCCTTCTGCTTGGGCGGTGATGGAATGAAGGCTTTTTCTACTTTTTAAATTTGGGTTGTCTGGTAGAGGAGGAGAATCTCGTAGGATTTTAACGCTGGAGGAATCGGCGTCGTATGTGGAAATCTCTTAGCGTGCTTGCATCGAAGGGAGAGGCTCGCCATATTTGGGGTGTTTCAAGCTGTGCGTGGGAAGGATGTGGGTTGATGGGTCTTGGTTTGCTTGTTTGTACAGAGGGTTAGGAGATACGCATTATTCCTAGTTATTTAGCTTGGGTGAGGTCAATTCGAAGGTCTTTATTACCTCGGTGGAGGAGGGCCGAGGACCACTAGGGTTGGTTGGTTTGTTCTGTATCCTCGTTAATACAGTACACGGGATTAAATCACAAGACACAATCGAGGCTGCACTGACATTCTGGAAATGCACGAAGAAGGGGGATGTTCGAGGCATGTGAGACGATTCTGGAATTTCAGTAGAACTTGCAGGCATAGGTTTAGAGGGTGAAAGGGAGTGATTCAGTCCTGTAGATGGTTAGGAGTCAAGTGTGGCAAGCACTGAAACGTAGACCTTTGTTACGGAGTAATTGAAGAGAGTTTATTTGTACTGAATGGTTGTCACGTGAGATATCATACACTTTGGAGTGGTGATTGTTTAGTTTTAACTAGCCAACCATCTTGTTTGTGGATTCTTCACGGTGAGGTTCAACGGTGCTCCTTATGATCAGAGATGGAACTGCATGGTGGCGAATTTCGAGCTGACATCTCTCTCGTGGATGCACACCATTCTCCAAATGAAGGGGACGAAGCTCATATGTCAGACCGTGATCATATTCTGCACGACTCTAATGGTAGCCACGTGAACGGCGATAGTCATTTGATAGACGCTACCAATCACCATTCCCTCGTCGCGCTTGATGAAGAAGTGGTATATGGACATCCTCAGGGCTCGCGGTGTGGGCGGATATATAAGAAAAGCAACTGGGTGGTGGAGGAAATGTTGATCCTGCAAGCGGCGAAGAGGGAGGACCTCCACCGCCATGAACGGGGTATGAAGGGCTCACAAAATCCTGCACAGGAGAGGTGGAACTGGATTGAGGACTACTGCTGGGCTTCTGGAGTTCAACGGAGTGCCCAACAGTGCCATGATAAGTGGGAAGTTATCTCAACCGCATACAAAAAAGTCTACACCAATGAGAAATACTCGTGCAATGGACACAAGTCTTACTGGAACATGTCGCCCGAGGAGCGCAAGCGAAACAAACTACCACCAAACTTTCAAAAGGAGATATTCAATGCTTTACTAGAGTGGTGTAATACCAAAACTAAAAATTCGGACTCTGGAGAGCTTGTAGTTGATACGTCGGGGCCCTTGGGACCATCAGGTATTTCTCTAGACTTACCCGATTGCCTGTGATCCTGTTGTGGTTTCTTTCCTCCAGTGCTTGGACCTTGTCAGCAATCTACAACAGTGCCTACATACTTTTTGTGATGATATTTTATTTATTTCTTTTTGTATATATGCACTATCCTCGCCTCCGCCGTTTGTTTTCTTCCTAGTTAGCAACCCACGTTTCCAGGTGTACATCAAGCTGTGCGATTGAATATTAGTTTGTCATGATAATCGTGGACAGTAGTATGTGTTTGGTTTGTTCACTGGCCGTGTAAGCCGTCATGCCTGGGTGTTGGCAGATGCGTTGTTGTAATTGCGGTTCAATAGACTCTCTTGATTGCATGGACGTTTTGAGAGATACCCTAAAGCTGAAGCTCTTATCTGGGGCAAAGAGGGTTTTTTTTTCCATGTACTGCACATGGAATTAAAATCGAACAAACCAATTTGCTGAATATAATCTACGAGAGCTGATGAAGTTCGTGAGAGTCTTCATCTGCTTGTCTTCTTAAATCATGGTTTTGGTCACTATTTTGGATTTCTGTGGAATAAACACAAAGATCTGTCTGTACAATGATTTGAATTTTGAGCTTTCTAGTAGTAAGTGTATTCCTGTAGTTGGTTCTCTTTCCGATTGTGTTGACTCGTTGTCGCCAGGTCACACAATATTAGACTGAGTATTTCCCTCTTCAGGTGTGAAAGCAGATCTTGTGGATTCTGAAGACGAAAGCGAAGAGGAAACAAGCGGCCCAAATCACTCCGGGAAGAAGAGAAAAGTGTGGTCGAAAACAGATGAGGCCCTGGCAATGATACTGGTTCGCAACAACAAGAACGTAGTTGAAGCAATGCTGGAGTCCGAAGACAGGAAAGATAAGCGACACCGAGAGGACCTTGAAATGGAGAGAGTGAAACTGGAGTTGGAGAAAGAGAAATTTCGGGGTACCATGAAACTGGGCAGTGGTTATATAGATGCCCTCGTCAACATAGGTGATGGTCTTAAGCAGCTAAGTGCTGCGCTTTGTGCAAATATTCATTCATGACATGTGTTGAATGCTCTTCTGGTCTCTGCCACAAGCATGAACTAAGTACCGATTTGTTGGAGTCCTCACAAGCTAATGAGGTATATATCACTGTATGGATTTTTTTGGTGCTAACTATGCTCCTGGGATTACCGGCGGAGTCTGTTTTTTTATATAAGGGTACCTGAGCTCAGCTTTGTTGCTGGTAGGATTTTGCAGCATTGCTAATGTTATTACTTTTAGTCATGAGCTCCTGCAAGAACTTTACTTGAAGTAAAAGGAATATTAACTGTAAGGCAGTTGCAAACAAATGCGTTAACCTCATGGGTTAATTACAGGTTCCAGAGCTAGAGCACTTTAATCTGCTATCATCCTTTCATAGATACACATTCACTCAGCAGAAAATGATTCAAGCATTTGTGCTTTCTTACTTCGAAGCTTATGGCAAGGCAGTAAATTGTATTTAGTTAGCGTAGCGGCTGATTGGAGTGGAGCTCGCTCTTCCATGGTGAAGGTTTCATATGTGATTTGAACTTTATACGGTTGGATTTAGTGGTAACCTCTTATATTTTTGATGGTTAATATGGGTAATGCAAAAAGATTTTTAAGGCTTTTGATGTGTTCCTTTCTAGCTATTCTCTTGGCTTTCCTACACTCACTTACTGTTCAATAGCACACTTGATAACTGAAGTACCTTGTTGGAAACAGTAGCGTTGAATTTCACAACTGGAATGTACACAAATTTCTCTATAACTATGTGAAAGCACATTTTCTGAAATTAGCGGTGAGTTGTCATCAAAGACACGTCCAGTCATGTACTTGAGATGTAATAATGCTGCAGCTATGAACATGTTTGACACAATGCTGTGCGTGATCCACGTACCCAATTGGATCTTTGCAATAAGTTTAGCCTTTTTGTAGCTATCAGACTGGTACCTGAATCACTTATTGTATCATCCGAGAGTTATGAATTACGTGAAGTATGTAAAGTATGTGACATTTTAATATGAATGCGTTTTGATTGTTTATCATATAATAATTATTTGTAGAGAGGCGCTTTTGATTTAAAATCATGTCACAAGAAGTGATTGTGGTAGCCCTTTCTGTGGTAAGCTTACAATTTAAAAAAGTTTATAGCAAGCTTCTTTTGACACATAATACTCGCCAACACGAGCATTCTTGTTAAAGATTGTGATGATTGTTCCAGGTATGCACTTAATGATTGAGAACAAAAATGGTGTTAGATCATTCATTTTATATTATTTTATATTTTTTCTCCTGGTTTCGTTGGAAAAATGAAGAATAGATGTGAATTGTGCAACACCAATTTATGTTTCATTCTCGAATAGATTACAACATAATGTTGTTAATACAAGCCACATCATAAAATGGACTAAAGATAAAGTAAGAAGACAGAATATGCCAAATAAATTGTCATTTTTTCTTTGTACAAAAATGTTGTAACTTGTGATATTATATCTTTGGCTTCTTAAATGATGCAGTCCAATAAAAGAATACCTTGTTTTTAAGATAAATCATGAAAAAACCACTTTACTCATCTACAAACAAAATGGCTAAAACCTAATATCATCTCAGAGTGTTGATTATCTAGGGTAAACAGTGGTTGCCATGTTCTAATGTACGATTATTCTAAGCACGTCTTGTGCTCGAATGGCTTCACTCCCAATTGAACTGCCCAGCTTGGATAAGGAGCGACCACCTGAAGCAGTTGGTTTGTCATAGGATGCCTGAGAGCAAGACTCTCTGCGTGCAACGTATGTGAATCATAATGTACACTCTGCCAGAAAAGAGGGCCTCCATACTTCACATCTCCGCATAAAGGCAGACCTAAATATTGGCAATGTAATCGAATCTGATGAGTTCTTCCAGTCTCTGGAAATGCACGCACCAAAGTTACCTCCTCGTCAACGTCTGAGCACCTCTTTGTAACCTCATTACTCACAAGCCTCACCTCATCTTCACTCCCAACGATGACCTCTAGACAGTCGTGTTCAACCGAAAGTTCATTATCCCATCTCAGCGAATCAGGGCCTGAAACAATTTCTAATCTAGTGATCATTTCTCGAACCGTTTCAGTTTTGACAGGAAGACGCCTGCCGATATCGTGTTTAGCATAAACATGCCAGGCACCATATCTGGACCTGCCGTGTCCCGATTCAATCCTCGACTTTCTCCACGTGGGTTGTGACTGGGCACACTGAGCAATGTATGTCTTGTGAACCTTACGATTCATGTAAGAACGAGTGAGGTTGGCAGCGGCTACTTTGCATTTAGTGATGATCATTATTCCACTTGTGTCACGATCGAGGCGATTTGCCATGTGTAAATGCAGCGGGGTTTCGCCTGCATAAAGCATGCCACTTGACTTTCAGCACGAAAAACTCACCCGAACGGTGACATCAAACATGAAACACTCAAAAATTCCACAAAAATGTCCGAGACTTTACGCCTTGTCACGTACTTACAGCATTGCAGAAAGGAATCTTAATCACAAGGAAGCTAACAATCTACAAAAAAAAGACTTAACATATATTCAAGTTCATATGCATGCTTCCAAGGGCACTAAATGTACGAATACACAACAGCAAATATCTCGAAGAGTCAAGAATTAGTGTGAGGTACCAACCACTTGAGCTGCACAGAGATGGCATGGTTTCAAACACATGGCCACTATATAATCCACGGGGTTTGTTCACAATTATCAGCCACTCATCCTCGAACAGCACACTTTCCCTCCCGATTGCTGGTCTGGATTTCATTGCAGCCTCTGCCACAAGAGCTCTCTGCAGCTCCACCTCGTTCGACAATTGACTTGGAACTGGTGACAGCGGTACTGGGTAATCCAATTTCAGTACGCTATCGACCTCTCCACAGCTTTCTTTTATCACCATCGAATGGGCAACCACAGAAGATCTCATCCTGGCTGGTAATGGGGAGAAGACGAATTCCAGCGATCTGATACCAACTCGAGTTTGCACCTTCGAGTGCCATGGTAGGAAGGTGACTGCTCGTGCCGGACATGACGCATGATACATGAGCGAAGACTCTCCAAAATCTGCATCCATTTCGAAGAAAACTTCAGACGAATCCTCGTAAACATCACGGCATCTCTTGAACCAGTTCTGTCTTGTGCTTCAATGCAAGTATCAGGTACGCAAAGGTTCAAATTCGTGGATAAGAACAGAAAAGACTAACGGTACTCGGAATGAATCTGCGAGAAGTATGGAATTAATGCGACGCATTTACTCAGCATGCTACACTCAAACTACAGATGATCCACGCCCCAAACCGAGGTCTTATCCTTGATTCATTTTCACAACTCCCCATCTCCCATAATTCATGTACGAATCGAAGAACAGCGAATTCTCGCAGGACACGCAAAGAGAAGAAAACCTATCAACGTAAATCGATTCCTCCGAGGACCTGCACGCCACTAACCTAGCGGTCAATCCCACCATTCTGTTACTCGGAACATAGCAGCACCACAAATGCTATTCCGAACAAAACATGACCAAACCTACATTCTCGTGCAATGCTCAAAGAATCAGTGACCAATTTTGCGAAAAATGCAACAAGTACACCAATACAGGAGCCGTCTTTGTTCCAATGAGGCGTTTAGCTCCACCAAATCGCAAAAACAAAGGACGAGGGCAGCTGGAGTGCAGACTCAGACCTTTCGGTAATGCCTCCGCGTCTTTGAGTGCGTCGTGAAAAACTTCATGCAAATGAGGATATTAAGAGTGTTGGTCCACCAAAAGGCTCGCAAAGGAAACCTCCGCAAACTGCAAGAGCATCGAAGAAGATGAGATTGACGTTAGGGCGTTGAGGAAATCCCCTTCGCAAATTTCTGGCTGCACACCAAGCTAAGCAAAGCTACGCTAAAACTTCAAGGGGCGTCGTCGTTACTAGACCCCTAGATCCCCATTCACACTGTTACGAGTTCAATTAGCCTCTACTCACGCGTTCACACTGTGACGACTGTTCTTCACCCAGAAAATAGGGCCCACAGAACTGAGGCTTTTCTCGTACAAGTGATGCATAAGTCTAAACTAGACTTCTTTGACTTTATTTATTAAATATTTCTCACACTTTTCTGAACATTGATTTTAATGTGTGTGTGAATAAATATATATATATATATATATATATAATAACATGGGTAGAAATCAAAGAGATAAAGAAGCTTATTCATTGGCCTTGAATAAAGGAACGTGGAGAAAATGGGGAATGTGGGAGCACATGAATGCATAGGTTTCTAAAGCCCCATGGTCTTGAAGAGAACACTCCCATAAGCTTTGACAACTTTTCTATGAACAATGGCATGAGTTTCTGCTAGTATATGTATGTATGAAAAATATATATATTTATATATTTATTTATTCTCATCTACTTTAGAAGAGGGTGCTAGTGTCAGGTGATGAACAATTTATACACTTGATTTTATGGGTAGTTGTTAATTGTTTTGTAACAATGTAGAAAATCAATTGGATTCTTTCAGAAAGCTTATTATAAGTTATTATTTAAATAGAAAAAAAAAGTTACAATTTTTTTTTTTTTTTTTTTTTTTTTTTTTTCTAGCTAATATCAATCTTTGTTAATGTATCTCTCCATGCTTGAGTATTTAATTTAAATTAATTTAATTTATTAAAATTACACAAGATAAAATGTAGAATGTTAATATTTACGTAACTATCAGTGGATGACATATTCTTGTGGTGTTAGTAAGTGTTATACCAAATTTTGTGAAATCTTTACAAACATATATAACTACTAGCAGGTCGTGATTTTATTTAAAGATATACATTGATTATTAAAACAAATATATGAGTAATTCAAACAAAATTTTCTTGTATATAATTTTAAGAATGTTACTTATTTAAATAATAACTAAAATTAAAAATATATTAATTAACTATCTTTTATACAACAATCAATAGATTGTGATTTAATAATAAAATGATATTTTATACAGTTCTTAACTTAAGCATTTTTCTAACATTTTGAAAATACTTCAATGGCATGGACAATTTTAGTATTTGGGATCTTTGTTGTTTAATCTGTTATAGGTTTAGCTAATGTGCTTAAATAGCTTTAATTATTATATATTTTAAAAAATTTAAATAAACTTTGTAATTGCATAGATAATCCTTTTAATACAACATTAACTTGTTCTTAAAAAACACACATTAATAATTATTTATTAAATATTATTTGATAAGTAAGAACAAGTATGCTAAGCACTTCAATGAAGGTCAATTACTTGAATTTTATAATATTTAATCTTAAAATACATTCTAATATAGTTTGAGTGATATAATTTGTCATCTTTATTGTAATATTAACGAACGTATGTGTATTCTCCACCTTGGTACCTTAAATTTCTTCTTTTCTAGTGCATCTTATTTTACTTCAGTAGGTGCTTTACATCAAGTCAATGGAATAACTGACATGTAGAATTCATTAATCTTACTCAAATTAAGCTCTCCATGCAACTCTGTTCAATATTTTGAATTCCAAATACTTCGTATTGACTTGTCTATCATCTTCAAAGTTCACACATTGCTATTTTCTCTCACGTACAGCTCAAATGACTGGTAATAATTTCATTCAATTTTTTTTATTATTATTTTATCTTACTTGGCACAGTGAATGCCATGGATTTTTAAGTTGCAGCTTTTAGAGTTGAAAGCCTATTCAACCAAATGAAGATTTTCTTACTTCACTCTTGTACTTAATCACTTAGTCTGTCTGATGTTGATGAATTTGAAAATGACTCTTAATTATTCAATTTTTTCAGGCTTGGATGTTGGTTGACTGACACACAGGCCCTCAACTGCATGATGGAGAGCAAAGTGAGGTGAAACTCAGTTTCCAAGGCTATCAAATTCCAAATGTATTTCTCCAAATAATAAGGGAAACCTACACATGATTTACACTGCTTTAAAATGTGCTTTCTTTACAGTCATAGTCATATTTGTCCTTGTTGAAAGTCCATTACTGCGAATATGATGCATGCATTGAGCCATTTGAACTATCAGCTGGTTTCTCAACAAGCACATGTGCTCACAGAATTACCCAGGATAATCTCCTCTTCAAGTATGCATTATGGTGATGCATTGATGGATTAACAACAAGATAAACGCCTCGGAAACGTAATCGTCTGAAGTAATCGTCTGGTGAGGCAGCATAGATTGTCTTGCAGTAAAAAAGGAATTAGCTTTGCAGAATCGACACTTGGCAGTGACACTTGGGAGTTAGTATTTTGCAGCCGGAAATGTGCTTGAGGCATGTTTCGCAAAGAGTGTTGTATTCTGGAAGTGATAGAATGCAAGAGCTTGGTTGAACAGTTCGGATGCTATTTATAATCGCGAATGAAGAACTTCTGCCGTTGCTAATCAAATGTGACCGACACCACCTAGTTCAAAAACAACCGAGAGTGTCAATAGCTTTAGAGTCGCCCACAATTAGAGATAATCACAGCCTTGCGAGTCTTGCCATCACTGGAGCCAACGGCTTCAATCGCTTTCACGACATTGAATCCTTCGACGACCACTCCGAACACAACATGTTTTCCATCGAGCCACGGCGCGGGGACGGTGGTGATGAAGAACTGGGACCCATTGCTGTTGGGTCCAGCATTTGCCATCGACAATGTTCCTGGCACGCCGTGCCTTCTCACAAAATTCTCGTCCGGGAACTTGGTGCCGTAGATTGATTCGCCCCCTGTGCCATTTCCCTTCGTGAAGTCACCTCCCTGGCACATGAACTCTGGGATGACACGGTGGAATGCCGAGCCTTTGAAGTGCAGGTTTCGTCCGCTTTCGCCAGCGCCTTTCTCGCCAGTGCACAAACACCTGGAGTGTCAACAGAGTGCTTCAGTTGCTGCTGGTCAGGCATCAGCGAACATGGAAGTCACTTGGATCATCAGATCACCGCTGGTTACATTGTATTCTGGTATTTTTTAAAGAGAAATCCAAAGAACAAATGTGTGAATAGAAGGCGAAGCACCTGAAGTTTTCGGCAGTCTTTGGGCATGTGTCTTTATAGAGCTCTATTATAATCCGGCCCGTGGGTGTGCCCCCAATGACAATATCAAAGAACACCCTAGGATTTGTCGATGCCATTACTCTGCGCGTGATCCAAAAAAGCTAGATAGTCGACTTGAACCGATGATAAATAGCCTAAAACTCCATTCTGAAAGACGAAAGGTTAGCTTGATTTTGAAGAATTATGAATCTACAAGGTGATTCCTAACTTGTGACCAAATCCTAGAGTTGTGAAGTCTGACCTTTCGCACTTTCACGGCTAAAATAATCGTTTTGTTGCCTGGTGGTTTACTCGCCAAACCTGAGATGGATGCTACTCTGTCGTCTGCTTTTCACACCATGCAATTGCATGAAACCATTATTCGGCTTAACATGAGCAGTTGGGCAAATCAACCTCCTGCATGAAGTTATTCAAAGGATTTTGCTTCAAAGGTCACCGCAATGTATCGTTCAGTAATCCAGTGAATTGCAATCTGGTAACATCCACTTTCGAAGTCTTCAAAAGTCCCCGGAGCATTTGGGTTTCCTCCTGAGGGAAGGCCTTAGAACAATGATTTTTATCTTACAGTATGGCAAAGCGGCAGCTGCATACGATCTAACATTCTAACATGACCTTGCTTCTCAGTGTCAGGTGGCCCAATGCCAAAACACGGGCATACAGAACTCGTCACACTTGAATATTAAATTTCACTTGGGATTCGAATTGAAGGGGAGGACTAACACGAATTGCGTATGCCTTGGAGAAAACGTCGACGACGATGGATTCAGGATTGAAAGAAATAATTTCTCCAGGTTTTGACATTATGGTGAGGAATTTCTCACACCTGATTTAATTAAGGTCATGGCACGGGAGACCATGTGCTCCTGGTTCGCGGCAATCGTTTCCCTCTCATCCTTGCATGTAAAGAACTCTTGGACTGTCAAGGGACACCAGGATGTTACCTACAACCTCTTCCAAACGGCACTACAATGTATATAAACGCAATATAACGGCTCGATTTCTGCATTGAGGAGACCAGCCCATACAAAATCCTGCCACTAGTGGAGGAATACAAATACACTCACATGCACAACCAATCAACTGGACATAGACGGATTGTAATCTCACCGAGAATGGTCTGAGAGTATTCATTCTCCCCTTGGGTTCTGAAGAGTTGGGTACTAAATGCTCAGATTCATTACAATAATTTTACTGGCCTTTAGCGTGGACAGATACGGTCTCCGTCTCCAAAATTTCAAGAATACACTTTCGTTAATGAAATCACTTTGCTACGAGAATTCATGGAATTGGCAGGGAATTCATGTTCACACCGCATCATCGAGGACGCAAGAATAATTAATTACTTTCTACGGATTTGATGAACACTGTAGGTTGGCTTTCAGTCGACGTGTCAAAGAATCAAGGATTTATAACCACATCTGCTCCAGTATATGTGAAATGATCCCCCTTAGCAAAATCTCTAAACAGATGCAAGTTAATCGCGATCATTTAATAATTTTACATGAATACTTCTCTTTGCTTCTCTAGAGAAGCTTAAATGAAGTCACTCAGAAGTTGAACACCTCGAAGACAGGTTCAGATGTGTGGGCCTTTGTCAGTGATTCACAGCTATTCGACCGTGACATGGAGGTTTTGAATGGGCAGGCCTCGCTAGGCCACATCTGGCAGTGATCCTTGCAGCTCTCGTCAGACCTTAATTGGCCATTCTGCTGTGAATTTTCATCGTCTGAGCTCACGGCTAAAAAAAATTGCAAATGTACACCATCGGTTGAATCATCCGGCGTGTTGTAACCGCAGGTACCTTGCTTTGAAAAATCTAAGGGAGGGTTTCCTTGCTCGTTGATGGACAGCGTCGACTCGAAGCTTGCATCATCTTGTGAGATCTGCTGAGATTTGTAACAGGAACATGTAGATAACGCCATATCCTGAGAGTTCTCCGTTGAACATGGTTGTTTCTTTGCGCTGGTTTTCAGAGTTGATTCTGAATCGATTTTTAAGTGACTGGTGTGACTAAATATTTCTTGTGTCAAAAGCTCGGCCACCTCTTGGTCTGAACTTGAGCTCGTGGACCGAGCAGAGGATGACCCAATCAAGGGAACGAAGCGCTTCAGTTGCGGTGCAGGAATTGGGACGAGAGGATGCTTTCCATTGAGGTCTTGATCAGTTTGGCTATGGGGAGGCCCACCTTCCGAATGAATCCGGTGTACTTCTCTGCGAGCTTGGTGATAGAGCCTCCGCTTCATGGAAAGAGATAATTGCCTGCTGAGTTGTGTATTTTGCTCCAAGGTTATGTTCTGGCGGTTAAGGAGATGCGTTTCTCTCATGGGAGTCGCAACTGTTTCCAGAGACAGATGCCGAGAGTGTTGCAGTGAATTTGGTTCCAACTCAATCTGTTCGTTATCTTGAATTCCGACATCCGAAGCTGCAAGAGTTCAGGGTTTAGGTTATATGACTAGGATTAGAACAAATTCTATCGATGAGTGCTTGCTTTCCACGACCAAGGCGGACAAATGTCTCTTCGCAATTCGGCTGCATTAAAAAACTAACAAGGAGATCTTTCTTACTAGACATGAATGAACCGCGGCTGGAAGGCGGCGACATCGATCTGGAAAGACCAGAAAACTGCCCGCTTTCCAATAACTGCAGCACATTATCGTGCAGAATTTCAGTCTCGTGGTTGATGAGAGATGGTCCAGGATTGATATTCGACGCCAAAAGGAGCGACATAGTAGGGCCACGAGCATGTTCGGGCGTCTCCCTCTCCGCCGGCATGAGAGTGTGGGGCAACACAGCTTCCAGAGCAATATTGATTCTACACAAGGGGCATGTGGAGGACTTCACAAGCCACGTATCGATGCAGGGGATGTGAAAGGGATGATTGCACTTGGGCAGGATTCGAAGCACCTCCCCGATCTCAAACTCTCCCAAGCAAACGGAGCATTCAGTCTTGTCGAGCACTCCCTCGTGGGGATCGTACTTTCGAGTCGGAATCCGGCTAATGAGGGCATCGTCCAAGCCCACCCTACTAGCAGGCCCTGCGCCGTGCTCCTCCATCAACACCTGATGACGCAGGAGGTCGCTAGATTAGAATAGATCATCTCGGAAACTGATCCAATTCAGGAGGCTTAGGAAAAGGATTCACTGCTTACAATGGTGGAGGGACTGCCATCTCGGCCGTTGCGCCACGCACTCCAGCAACAAAATAGATTCCGATTACAGTACTTATCGAAGACTCTGTAGTAGCTCACGATTAGGAAGGCTCCGGCCAGCACTACGACCATTGCAATCACCACAGGACTGAGTATGCTCTGTCCTGAGGAAGAAACACCTGGTACAACTGGCGCTCGAACGAATGGAGTTGGTGCGTAGGAATTGCTGAGATATTTGATGCTTCCGGCATGGGGGTCTTGTATTTGTGAAGAGTGCCTTTGTTCCATGGTAAACCGCATTGAGATACGAATCTGACAAGAATCGTCACCAGCTGCAAAAAAAGAAGTGGGAATTCGAGCCACATTCTATTATTGCGTCAGAAAAGATCTGGATCGAAGTTAGACGGAGGTCTTAAGAGAAAGGTCTATGTTTCAAGATAGGTCTAAGTATTTCGAACCTTATTGAAAGAATTAGAAATAGTCGATTCATCACGAAACTGAAATCTGCAACCCTCCGCTTTTCCCAGAAGGAATTGTTGCAATTCCATCTATTTAGTCACTCCTATCAAAATTCTGCTTCCGATGGACGTAACAGTTGTGGCCCACCACGGCCACTCATTAGTCAACTCAATCGTGACCTACGCACACTTAGTAATCTTCAGCCCGTGCCGAGAATCTGCACATTAGGCAACTGATTAGAGAATGTCTACAGACCCGATTGTTATATTGTGAGTTCTGCATCATCCAGTAACTGTAATAAAGGCACTCAAATTTGGCACAGATCCTCTCACAAAAGTAGCATGTGCTACAATGAGACCAGCCTCCGGCGAATGAAGCAAGGTCCAATGGTCACAATTCAGAACACAGCAATAAGACAATCCTATCCACTATCTGAGCTTCACTGCTCAATTCCCCGAAATCTGCACAGCTAAAGATAACAAAACAAACGCGTCTATCCCCTACTCGCAATCGACGTTCAAAGGCCCCTCGTTTCGGAACTTCAGTTTAACCCAGAGACAACAATACTGTGACTCAACAACTGTCGAAGCTGAGTGGATCCGACCCTGCGCTTCCGTCGATCACGTACTCCAACGCCTATTCGACAATCCATACACTACACCCACCTCACGAAGCATCGACTGGCTAACTCCACCCTGTGATCCTGTAACCCGACCACTAGTCGAGAATGAGGCACATCTAGACAAAGTAATCAAAGCATGCAGATCGGAGACAGCGCGACACAGTGGACGAGGCAACAACACTAGGCAAGCATCGCACCTGCTCCGGTCTCGGTGCAAGTCGAAGCCTCATCAGTGCAGCGGAGATGACACTGATCGAGGTCACAATCGACCAGGGGAAGCAGCAGCAGGAGAGGAACAGCAACAACAACAAGAGATGTGAGGAGGAGGCGCCATGCCCAGTAGCACGAGTAAACCTGTGCTAGTGCTTGCTTGCTTCTGCTTCTGCTTCTTCTTCTTCATCATCTTCCATGACTTCGTAGGATTAGCGATGCGGCAACTCACTCACTCACTCACTGTCTCCGTCGATGCGGCGGTGGAGTGCGATGGGGCAGCAGCAGCGTGACTCCTCCAATGTGGGATCTGATTGCTCTGATTGGTGCTTCCTTTCCTTGATCGCTCCTCCTCCTCCTCCTCCTCCTCGTATTTGGAATAATAATACTAATAATACTAATAATAATAATGGTGATGCTGGTAAAGGTTTCTCGTAATGGATTTTGTGAATAGTTTCAGTTGTGGAGATTTTTTATTAATTGAATACAATGTGCTAGAAATATCAATATTCATTGGATTTGATGTATATCAAATTTAATGTCGAAGATAATGCATTTGCTTTTGTACTTAAAAGACAAGCATAAGTCTTAATGTAGAAGAATATTTGGATATGTTTATATATATATATATATATATATATAAATCAATGTTTACAAAGTTATTTGAATTTATTTTCTAACTTGATGGTTTAATGTTGAAAGAGATTCAGAAAAACCAAAAGACATACCATTACGTTAAAAATAGCCACATCTATTGCAAATAACTCTTTTTAATATATTTTTAATTATTATCTTAAAAGTTTGTAAATTTATACTCAACTTCAATTAATAAATTAATAAATAAATAAATAAAAATTACAAAAAGATATGCAATTCATGATAAAGACTCTAAATATATATACTGGAAAAAAATTATTTAGCAAGCTAAATGATTGTATTACTGTTGCAATAACCCTAAATCACTAATATTTGTATTGAATAGAGATGTTTTTGTGATGAAAATATATTCTAAAAACAATTTAATCTATACCAACTAACATATGCATAAAAATCTCTTAGAGAAAAATTCAAAACAAGTATTATTATTATTAGTAGTAGTAGTAGTAGTAGTACTAATTTCAAATTAGTAATAAAACAAGGTCAAAGATTGGATAAAAGAAAGAGATATTTGTTTGTTTGTCAGAGTCTACTAGAGTCTATTTGCATGGTCTCCACAGTGATTGAACATCTTTAATTTTACCTTTACATTGGGTAATCACATTTTAGTGAAAAAATTTGAATCTTTGATATTTTTTTTAGATTGATAAACCCATAATATTAGTAAATGCATACTTAAAAAATAATATAAAATTCTTCTATTTTTTTCAAAAATAACAACAAAGATGTTTTTTATATTTTATTTATTTATTGTTTAAATAAAAATAACTAATATTAAGAATAAATAATTAATAAAAACCTAATAAATAATTTACGATTATATATTCTTTAAGATATTTATGGCAGATCTAATTATTCACAAAAACAAAAAAATATTCAAATCTTCATTTGTTGCAAAGATATTTTGAGAATAAATTTCAAAATCATTGTAACAATTAATTACTCAATGTATGGCATGTATAGAAAAATACTAAGTAAAAATTCAATATATAAATATATATATATATATATATATATATATACACATCATAATTTATTTATTTTTAAAAACAACATATCAAATATTTGATAATTTGTATTATAAGTTAATACTTTAGATAGTTTAAGAATATATGCACAAATTGGAGTTTTAATATTCATGTGGTTCAAAGAAAAATCACAAATTAAACAAAATAAAATTTTAGTTAGATTGGTTATAATTCTATTTGGTTACTAAGATAAAGTTTCAATATATCCTCAAGGGTAGTTTTGTAGAATTATATGTAAAATTGCAACATAAAATAGTACTGATAATTATAATAATATTCTTTGTTATAATATCCTATAGAGATTATGATTTAAAAAATAAAGGACAAACGGATTATGGAATTTTTTTTAATATTAATATTTGCCATAACGTTATGAGATTTTATTTAAGAAAAGTTTGGATATTTTACGATTTCACTTTAAGAATTTCACTTTATCATTATTAAATTAAAATCATAAAAATATATTTTTGGATAATTCGCTTCCTAGTAAATATCTTTAAAGAATAGAATAAAATGCCAATCACAATACAAGACAGATTCAGTTGTTTAATCCTTGATGACCAAATCTATATGATATCAAAACTACTAAAACAACTTGGAAATTCAGTTTTCAGAGTACAATGGCCTTGAGTTGCATATATTATTTAGTTGTTTACATATACATTTTCCTTTCTTTTGCTTTGTTAGTTAGGGTTGAGAATCTCCTAACAATACCATAAAAATTTCATAAAACTACTGTAATAAAAAAAATACACCTTTAACTGATCAAATAATTGTATTCGTGGAATCCAACTTCGTCAAAAGTTCTTTACCAAATTTTTGTTCCCTGATGCGTTCTGTATCAATTCAAACGAATATTGCACTTTGGAAATTTATATAAATGACATTCCCAGAGTGAAACAATTTTTTCTTACAAATTATATTCTTACAGTCGAAAGAAATGTGAGCAACCTGTTCTGATTGTGAACAACTGTATACTGTGCACTCTAGAATATAAAGTTGCGAGAGACTCCATGCTAGTTATCTACCGTGACGTTTAAGTCATTGCTTTCAAGGACACTTTCGTTTGGTCCAAGTACTGTTTTATCGAGGGACTGATTCATCGTAATAATTGCAATGGGTGTAGCAGTGACAAATAATTTCGAATATTGTACCAGAACAGGTCGGATAAGGGCATTCACTTCACTCTTTAGAAGTCATTTCTGGTAACTTGAACGGAGCATGATAACGTAACATGAGCTGCCGATTTAAAGTGAAGTAGTCAGAGTAAAATTCTAAATTTCTCTGCATTAGGTCATGAATGGTTTATGTATTGTAAAAATTTGCTTGTTTTAGCTGTTTTGAAGCCAGGCTACCGGTACTGGCGTGAAGACTTAGGGGACTGTTTTCCTGCTATGCAGCGTGTTATGGGGAAGTATAGAATACTTTCTACGAAGGGCTCATGATAGGAGTTAGTTCCACGATCCGTTGGGTAATAATGGCGATCAAGTTGAAAAAACTATAGTACAAATTTAAATGTCTGTAGTTATTTGAAATCAGTAACAAAGTAAGTGATTTAGGTTTCGGACGGGACAAAAGAACCGGTACAAGTAAATTATTTCAAATTTGTACGGTCTCTCCACGGCGCAACAGTTCCATGATCATAGACACAGCGCTGGATTTTATGGTCAATAATGCAGAAGTGTTTAAGCCAGGTCACGTCATAGTAACCTAGGCGTGCATCCCTCAATCGGATATCTTTCTGTAATCATGTATTATCATGATTAGCATGGTATTGTCATCATAGGGAAGTGAAATTACTTTGATCAGCGAAGGGTCACGATACCAACATGTCTTACTGCTGAGACACACTGTACCGCAGTGTACAGATTTCAGAAATCTATTTAGAGACGATAAGGAATAGAAGGCCCATGCCCAGGTTTAGAACCACTAATATTCGTGCTCATATTCTATGGGTGTTTCGTAGTCTGTCAAGCCATTAGCATTCAGTACGAGGAATTATTTGAAATCATTGCACGGACACGCAACCCAAAAAACACTACGACAAAGCCAATGATCGATGACTTTAAGAAAAAGCAGCAGGGGCAAGGCTCAATCGACGCAGTGCTCCCCAATCGCATGAACTCAAACGTCAGAGGCTAGCTTCGTAGACAAACCCACAGCATATACAACGCCCCACGTTTCTAAGACGACTTGAGGCAGTGACTCCACACCAACACCCACAGACACAAAAACTAACCCAAACTGTGAACCAACAACACAAGTACAGCGTAATCACACCCAGTGTAGCTATGACCACTGAGAGAGAATACATTCTAACAATCGTAGCCACGTTCTTATACAATGTAAAATGGAAGCATCGCGTTTGACCTAACCCTAATCAGAGCCCATGAGAGGCGCCTCCACAGTTGGATTACTGAATCGTTGGGTTTGATCGTCCACTTCGACTTTTCGTCTCGTGTTTTCGTCGGATAATGGGCTGGCCTCGTTTCCAGTTTCGACCCGCTTTGGAGGGTCTTGACTGGTGGGTAGGACGTTGTTTGTGATTGGCTGCTTGGGCTTTGGTCCCGTCTTCTTGGGGGTAGGTACTAACCATGGATGAAAAACCTTTCACATTTTGAAAATACGTTATCTAAGTGGTGGTAATTTGATATTTTCGGAATTCCACAAGCCAGATATTTGGTTATTACAATATTTCAATATCCATATGTGTGTATATACAGTGACAAACAAAACTGAGTACAAAATCTAAACACTCATAGTTCATTGATCCTTCCAACTGACACATAAGTCAATTGATAGAATTACTTTTTTATTGTGTGTATTCATCCAGTCCTCTACATGGATGAAAAATCTCATTATCATTTGAGGTAGGGTTTATGAGAAAAGTGTTGTAGAAGCACACAGACGTGCGTACTCAGTTTTGGTTGCTTCTTCTTGCTGAATTTCGAAATTTCAATATACACTCCTTGTTGCAAGATTTGAGGGCATTTTTTATTTGTTGTATTGCTCTTGTTGTGTACTATCTATAGTGAAAGTTGATTTGTCAATTGTATCTCTATGCCTCGATTGTGTAAATCATTGAAGCACCAAGCATTGGTGCAGCTTAGGAGTGGTGTTTATACAAGAAAAGTTGTAGACTCACTTGGAATGAGTCAGTCTTCAGTAGCTCATCTGAGGAGGGAGATTAGTGGTGAAATAGAAAAGCAAAGAGAAGGACGTCCAAAGGTTTTAGGAGAGCAAGAGAAGCGACTTAGTGTGCACCTTGTCACTGCTGGTTGTCTCAAAACGGCAAGTGCAGCTACAAAACAACTTCGAGAAAAAATAGGTAAACACTTCTCAGACATCACCTTGAGGCGTGGTTTGAGAGAAGCTGGTTTGGGTGCTTGTGTGTGTCATGGACACAGAATACAGACTTGATATCTACCAAGAAGTTCAAGAAGAACTGGCAAGAACTAGATTAATCAGATGAATACAAGAACAACACCAGAGAGGTGAGCTAGAGCTCCAAGAGATGTGTTGTCGAGACTGAAGAACTCTTCAGCCTCGATCCCAATATATACTCCTATTTAGGAAGCTTCTCAATCAACTTCTACCAACTAGGAAGCTTCTAGAAGGTTCCAGAGACTTGCTTCTAGAAGGTTCTAGAAACTTATCTCTAGAAGGTTCTAAGGACTATGTCCCTAACATCTTCTACCAATTAAGAAGCTTCTAGAAGGTTCCAGAGACTTGCTTCTAGAAGGTTCTAGAAGCTTGTCTCTAGAAGATTCTAGAAACTTGACTCTAGAAGGTTCTAAGGACTATGTCCCTAACATCACCCCTTCTTTTAGCTTCGAGGTCTCTGAGAAGCAATGTTGTTGTCAATCAGTACCAACGCAAGAAAATGAAGATCTGTCGCAAAACGTCTACTATGAACTCCAACTGTTGTTCACGAGGTAAGTGGTTCATCGGCCCTTGAAGCCAACGATAGTGACCCACTCCTTCAACTTCTAACCAAGCATGAACTTCCGTCTCTTCATTGTGAAATTGTCCTGCAAATATGCCTTCTGGTTGACCATCGTAAGCAAGCTCGGACTCAAATACAATCACCAGTGATCGGTTACTTGGTATCTTTCGTCGTCGTCGTGGTACAGGTGGTTCTTCATCTCGGGGTCGCCTTCATGAAATAGTTGGTTGAGATAATCTGACTGGCATAGTATCTATCTCTTGGCTATCCATATCAGAAGACCAAACTATAGCTACTGAAAAAATTCTATTTTATCTTGGAGAAAATAACTACATCAACTATGAATTTTGCTGGTGCTCTCTCCCTTTCTTATATTCTTAGGTGAGCAAGCTTCAGAAAGAAGCTATTGTCGAACCGGCTTAGGTTTTTGAGGATGTTGTTGATGAAACTCCTGTACCTTTTGCGGCGCATTGGCAAGTTTTTTAGCTGGCTCCCATGTTCGCTCATTAATGTCGTAACCGCATCAATGAACAAGATACTCCAACTTGCCCCACCTTCGTCGAGAATCTAATACCTTTTCAATCTCGTATTCCTCATGGTTCTCGATCTCAATACTAGGTGGCGGACATTGCACTCTTCCAGGAAAAGATGACTCTCGATAAGGCTCTAACAAAGAAACATGAAAGACTAGATGTACCTTCATAGAAGCCGATAATTCCAATCCGTACGCCACTGGATTGATTTGCTTTTGGATGATAAATGGTCCCAATCTTCGATAGTCCAACTTATCACATGGTCACTTGGTCTTGATATTCCGTCGAAAAAGCCATGCTTTATCTCCAATTTTGAAAGTAGGTGCTTGATTCCGAAATCTATCTGCAGATGCCTTGTAGGATTCTTGAGCGGATTGTAATTGAAGCTTTAACGTATTTTGAAGCTCTGATAGTTGTTTCGCAAATCCTTCAGCTGCTGGATTGTTATTTGTTGATGGACTCAATAAATCAAGCTTTGGATAATACCCATAGTTGGAAAAGAATGGTGTGTATTGAGTCGATGCATGGAGGGTGTTGTTATATGCAAACTCGGCTAGCGGCAGATATGTGGTCCAATCGTCTTGCTGATAGTTGATGCTGCATCGTAAGTATTGTTCCAAGACTTGGTTCACCCGTTCCGTTTGACCATCAATTTGAGGATGAAAAGCTGAAGAAAGCTTGATATCCACCTTCAGTATCTCAAAGAGAGATCTCCAAAACTTTGATACGAACTGGGTTCCTCGATCTGATACGATATTATCAGGTAGTCCATGATATTGATACACATTATCGAGAAAGAGCCTTGCTGTGACTTCATTAGACGATGTCTTCTTCCAAGGGACAAAGTGTGCCATTTTTGTAAGCCGATCTACCACGACAAAGATACTGTCAAATAAGTTCGATGATGGTAGGTCCATGATGAAGTCCCTAGAAATTGAAGACCATGGTCGACGTAGAATCGGCAATGGCTGTAGGAGTCTATAAGGGCGATGCCGAGGATTCTTCGATCTTGAACAGATGTCGCAGGAGAGGACAAAATCTTTCACATCCTTCCACATTTGGGGCCACCAAAAATCTCGAGAAATAAGCTCCAAGGTCTTGTTGAATCCAAAATGTCCTGCAACTGGAAAATCATGGCGAGATTGAAGAACTTGGAGTCGTGTTGGTCCTTTTGGGATATATAACCGCTCTTCAAAGTATAAAAGATCTCCTTCCACCTTGAACTTGTCGTCATTGGCACGCTGTTTAATATCAATGGCTACTGAATCTTCAATGGTTACGGCATGTACCTGATTCAGGAAGTCAGCATCAATTGGCATAATAGTAGCGCAAAGCTGAAATTGCTCTGGCTTCAATAACGTTGTACATTGTTGATCAAATGCTGCTTCTCCAGCCTTTGGTATAAGATACGATCTCCTCGATAAGGCATCAGATAGTCCTTGCTGCTTTCTAAGTCGATAAGAGATAATAAAATCGAACCTAGATAGCGACATATTCTACCGAGCTTGACGCCGATTTAAAACTCGAGCCGTCATGAAATACTCCAAATTCTTGTGATCCGTATATACGGTTACTGGATGTACAGCTCCTTCAAGAAAGTGACGCCATTCTTCGAAAGAATCCACTATAGCAAGAAGTTCCTTATCGTGGATCTCATAATTGATTTCAGCAGCAGAGAACTTTCGAGAATAGAATGCAACTGTATGGAGCTTCTTATCTTCACTCATTTTTGAAAGCACAGCTCCCAAAGTAAAATCTGAAGCATCAGTTTCTAAATAGAAGGCCTTTGTAAAGTCTAGATGTATCAAGATTGGAGCCATAGTAAATGCGGTCTTCAGGTTTTGAAACGCCTTCTCTGCTAGAGGTCCCCATTCCAGCTTATCCTTGCGTATCAACCGAGTGAGAGGAGCAGCAACTTGAGAGTAATTCTTAATAAAGATCCGATAGAAGTTAGCAAAATCAAGAAAGCATTGTACGTCTCTAACCGTCTTCGGAACCTCCCAAGACACGATTGCTTCCACCTTCTTGGGGTCCATCTTCAAGCCTTCCGTAGTTGCAACGAATCCCAGAAACTCCATCTCTATTTGGTAAAATAAACACTTCTCCAACTTGGCATATAGTCCTCACTCACGTAGTTTCTCCAAGACCAAACGAACGTACTTTTCATGCTCTTCCTCATTTTTGGAGAATATCAAAATATCATCCAAATAGATGACAACAAAATCGTCAAGGTACTCTCGAAAAATGTCATTCATCATATGTTGAAAGACCGTTGGAGCATTGGTAAGACCAAAGGGCATGACATTATATTCAAAATGGCCATACCTTGTACGGAACGCTGTCTTCCACTCATCTCCTTCCTTGATTTGTATGAGGTTGTAAGCTCCCCTTAGATCAGTTTTTGTAAAGATCCTTGTACGTCCAAGTTATTCTAAGAGACTAGAAATCAAGGGTAATGGGTAACGATTCTTCTTTGTTACCTTGTTGAGGCCTCGATAGTCCACGCACATCCACAACAAGCCATCTTTCTTCTTCACAAAT